TAGATCTCTGTTTAAAATACTTATGGACTCCTTCTTGTTCGGGAACCTCCACCGTAGTAACAAAATATCAAAGGGGTGAGTGTTTAGGATAAGAAGGGTTAGGTAACACAAGTTCACAAGTTTTCCGCCAGAGTTTAGGGTTAATTTTTTGTGTGTCTAAGCCTCGGATTAAGCTTCTATTTATAGGGAATGGGTAGAATTAGGGTTTTTAAAATTCTTCCGCAATAGATGTCGCACGCAACTGGATGAGTTGCGCGCGGCTACCCAGCGCAAGTGATTGAGCTGCGCTGCAATATGCAGTGCAACTAATTGTCTTGAGTGCGACTTTATGGCAAGATTCGATTTTCTAATTTTTTGAAATTCTTAATCTTTCACGAGCGCAACTCTAGCAATTGCACTAAGTATCATGCGCAATTGAATTTGTTGTGCGCGCTAGACCAGCGCGACTCCTTGAGATGAACGCGTTATTTTCTGCGGCAGCGTTTATTTTAGCCTAAGTGCTCCTAAATCCGTCATTATTGGGTTCTAAGAACGGGCTTAAGCCTAATTATGATCGGATTTAGTTAATTGGACTTTGTTTCTTTGTTTGGGCTAGTCCTATGTGTTTTATGGTTTAACTAGTTATCCATAAACATTCTTCACTATGATCTAACACAAAGATGGTTTTATTTATCGTAATTGCACTCCCTGTCAGGAATGGAGGCTAAAAGTTGATGTCTACAGTTAGCCCACACTTTGATCGAGTCTACAATAGAGAGGATTAAAGTAGTCAAGGAAATGTTAGGTATGTAGAAATGATTCTCGATTCGCTAAGTGTATGAAACAAGTAGCTGTTAAGGCCAGAAAAATTTAATTCTAGTCTTAACACGCTAAAGAATCAAGATTGATCCTTTTCTTTTGTAGAATGCTTTTTCAAGTAAAGGTGTTCTAGGGTGATGTGAAATCATGAGAAGAGATCGGTTTAAAAAAGGGAGTAAAGGGGATGATTTCCTCTCAATCATGTAATCATTGGTCTAAAGTCATTTGATATGTCATTAAAACTTTATCCTGAATTTAACAAAGTAAAATGATGAAAAAGGTGTTTTTGCCATTCGATCCTAGACGTTTTCGGCATTCGAGCCTAAATGTTTCAGCATTAAAGCCTAAATGTTTCGGCATTCGACCCTAAATGTTTCTGCATTCGACCCTAAATGTTTCTGCATTCGAGCCAGATGTCCACAAGATAGAAATACATGTCTTAAGACCGGAGGCACATATCAAAATCCAGTGAGAGAGAAGAAAGTCAGCAACTCTCTTAGTAGTTTTGTCCACAAGATGAGTACACGTGTCTCAGGACTGGGGGCACGTGACTACATAGGTGCGACATCGTCTCGTTGCTCTTTATGCCGGGGGTGGACTGACACCCTAACTTTCCGGTAAGCCAGTAAGCTCACTAACTACCGTATTTGCTTCCAATCAAGAAGTGTTTGTTCCAGATGGTTTGGCGCGCCTGTCGACTAATGAGCTAACGCGTAAAGTAATCCTCTACCTTTTAGTTTCGAGAGGTAGATCTCGCAAAGCTTGGGCTGAAGTGAAATTTTATGCAACACCTACACTATACAATTTTACGATGTATGATAGGCCTTGCATTTTTACGGTGCATGATGACGCCTTCCTTTTTGCTTTGGATGTGAAAAAAAGAAAAAAAGTCGGACATTTATAACGTCAGTATAGTAAAATGACAAACCTGTCTGTGGGAGCCTTTACGTAAAGCACCACTACGGAACGTTTTAAGACACATTTACGAAAAACGTTCAAAAGTATGCTTAGGAAGGCACAAAGCACAGTGCGCATGCAAAATGATTCAAAAAAACTAACAAAGAAGAAAATAAACTACAAAATATAAAGCAATTAAAAGATTTTGACAATTTGCGCGCCATTACGTCTAATAACGAGGAAAAAACCGTTGAAAAATGATCAACAGGATAAAAATCTGGATACCAGTTATTTTAGTGACCAGTATCTGCGCGCAACATAGTAGGTCGCGATGTCCAAGCGCACGCATCATTCTGAGTTGTGCTAGTCTGTCACGCGCAACTAATTCGGTTGCGCACGACATTTAAATCAAAAAAAAGAAATCGCTAAGCGCGATTTTCAGTTTGCAATCTCTCTCTCTTCCTTCACCATTTTTCACCCTTTCTCTCTCTAGAAAGCTCAATTTTTTGCGATTTTTGAAGCCAAAGGAAGTAGATCTCATCCTCTATTCTTATTTACTATATCCAAATGTAAGTTTTTTTGTCAAATGTCGTTTTATTTTGGCTTAATTGGGACGATTTTCGAACCGTTAAAACCTCAATTTTCAAATTTTGGGGTTTTTGATTCGGTCCATTGTTCTTGAAATTGTTTGTTTCATGTTGTTTAAAGAGTGTTTTGCAACAAATTTCATGAAAAATGGTTAAGTATTGAACCTTGTATGAGCATTTCTTTTGTTTAAGTTCGTTCTTCCTCTTCCTTCGAATTTTGCTCGAATCAGTTGCTTTTTTCTTGTTAATTTTGGTTGCATTTGCTTATTATGAAGTAGAATATAGTATTGGAACTAGTATTACTTTCATAATTCACATTTTGCCAAATTTGAAATAGAAAGATGGTGCGAAGCACACTCTTAGCTCGTTTTTTTCCATGTTTAAACCTCAATATTAATTGGTAGACGATAATCGTGTTTGTATTACTGTTATTCAACTAGGAGTAGTTGATTCTTTGAGATTTTAAAATACAATCCCTTGAACACTTAGTTGAAACTTGTATAGGATGGCTTTTTGTGGGTGTTAGAAGCCCCCATTTATTGAGTTTAATAGCAGGTATTGTAGCCCCCAAGTATGGTGGCATTCAATTTTCGTGTTTTGCCCTATCGGCAGCCGTGATGCTGCCAAATTAGGTCTAGAACACTTATATTAGCGTAGTTTAGAATAAGCTAATGAAAAAACTTTGTCCATTAATAGCATGGACTCGCCTCCATCTTTTGATGCCGAAGAGGTTTTAGGAGATCTCGTGTCAGACGAGGCGGTTTGCCCTCGATAGAGGGTGACCCGCCCTCGAGAAGAGGTTCAGCAGCGACGTGTCGGAGCTGATCGTCGTCGCCAAGAGGATGTAGTTTGGAAGGCTCCTCCCAACTGGGACCCGAGGGTCCTTAAGTGGGACCTAGACCATCACGTCTCAATTAGGGGTTGGCGTGGCATTGTGAGTCTTTTGCGTCCCTTTTTTTTTAATTTTTTCATCAAAACAAATTTTTTTACTCTCCTTTGTGCCTTTCCTTTTTTAAAGTGAGCCTAGCATGCGCCTATACGGCTCTGGTGATCTACGCGGTCGTTTTGAGAGTTTTCTCGTGGTGGCAAAGAAGGTTCTGGAGCTTTCGGGGATCAGCCCCCAGCTGGCGGCTCTTCGGGATTTATCAAGTTAGCATGCGTCGTTAGCTTTCCTCCGTGAATTGCTGGAGTTTTGGTGGGATTCCACTAACACTTTCCACTTTCCATGGGGAGAGATGACAGTTACCCCTTACGATTTCTCTTTGATTACAGGTTTTCCTTTCGGAGGTGAGCCCGTAGTTATGGAGGTCGTTAAGGGTCAGACGAGAGACTGGGTGACCTCGTGGGGGATCGTCTTGCAGTGGCCCTTCACATGTATGCGCAATCTTGTCCGTACTCGGTTCTTGCCGATAGTTGTCGGATGAAGAGGTTGATCGGCAGTGTACACCTGAGCATCTGGCTCGTATATACATTGCTCACATTCTTTCCATCACTAACTTGAGTGATCAGGGCGAGCATTTCGCCATTGGGTTACTTTTTTGCCTTAGTAATTTTGGGTAGGTAGGTAACTTGATTTGGGCATAGGTGTCGTATGCCCGTATGCTTACAGCTATGGGCAAGGCGACCCGATTGATGGATTTTGCGGCAGCTACTGAGGTACTTCGGATCTCCCTTTCATGGCAGGGTCATATCCTTGAGGTGCGTACTTATCCTTTTTTCTTTTCTTTTAATCGCCATTTTGGTTTTCTTTTCCTTATTATTTTCGCTTCTATATAGGCTTGGGGATATTTGTACCTACCTTTCTTAGCCCCCAGGATGCTTGGGCTGCTCGTTTTCCTATAGGCCATCGACTGGTCACGATTTAGAAGAGACGAGCCACTTCAGCCGGTGCCTTTTGCTAGAGGATCCTTTAGGCGACTCGTGCATCGGTGAGTATTTCAACCACATGTGCATCTTTTGATTTTTTTGTTTATTTTCTGATAATTTTTCGTGTGCCTGTGTTTACAGATCGACCTTCGTCCTTGGAGTTTGATTGTCGGAGTCCTTGAGGCTGTCCGATCTAGCATGATTCGTTGCCGTTTCCGGACCCTTTATGAGGGACTTCCAGTCCTCCAGAGGACAAACTTTTGGTTTTTAGGCAAGCGTGTTCTCTGGCAGTCTGCATCCGAGGAGCCTAGGGTTCCTGGCAATCGATGATCGAGCTCAGGCGATCCTTGGTCATCCAGTGGGGCAGCTAGTGCTGCCGGATGCATCTTATCCGACTTTCATTACATTTAGGCTGACTCCTTTCCCAGCTTTTGTTCCGGTTAGTACCTTAACCCTCTATTTTTACATTTATTTTTTCGGATGGTTGCCCCTTTTATTGTATTTTAAGCAGGTCGAGCTCGGTGGTTGGGTGTCTCCTATGGCGGAGATCACGTATACCGATGTTGTTAGGTCGATAATTCATGAGATCCTTCCAGAAGCGGGGGATGAGGAAGGGATTCCGTTGGTTCCTGAGACGGTTGAGTCGGTATCACTACTACAAAATGAGTACTTTTTCGACGCTAGACCCTCGACGATGGACAAGTACCGTCAACGAGTAAATATACTATGTGTATTTTCGCGACGCTTTTCAGAGTCAAAATTAATTTTCGAGTGCAAAAAGTGTCGAGAAAGACATGCACGTGTCCACATGTGAATAAAAACCCACGATTGCAGCCGACGATAGCAAATATAGGGAAATAATAAACGACATAATCTGAAGTGCTGAACATAAACATAAACCCTAACTATTTTCCTCTCTATCTTTCAGCATACATACCGAATGAACCATGGATTTTAAACTCAGATCTTTGTTGTTTCCGAGTCAATTTCGAATGAGGAGGTATTCAGTATCAGTTTCAAATTCAAATGTTCAACTCTGTTAGAATCAATTTCGAATTCTGGTACATCAATTTCGAGTTTAGATCTTCGTCCCTCTCCGATCCAAGATCGAATCAATTCAGATACATCAATTTAAAATGTTGATCTTTGTTTCTCTCTTAACCAATTTGTCATTCAGGTATATCAATTTCAAAACAGGATCTCTATCTAAATTGAAATCAGTTTTGTCCCTCGTTTTTAGATTCAATATCTTATTTATAGTTTTGTGGATTTGTGGTGTCTCACTTTCTTTGATTTTTATATGGTTATTGGTTTTCTTATGTTTGATATTACTAGAATTGTATGATTTTGTTTTCGTGAGCTTACATTGGTAGAAATTAATGGAGCTTGTAATATGATAAAGTAGTTGTATAGAGATAAATTGTGAGAGGAGTTGTATTAATTACCCAATTTTGATCTTCGTGGCAATAGTTATTTGGGATAAGAAATTGACTCAAGTTTCTTGAAGAGCAATATATTATACGATTCAGGTGGTGTAGTAGAGTTCTACCTAAAAGTTCCTCCACTCAAATTAATTGTAGAAGATTTATATGTTCGAATAAATGTGCTTATTAATTGAATTAATATTTGATTTGATTTAATCAGGCGAGTTTTCGAATATGTTGTAACTTATCTTAAAAGAAGCGACTTTGATGGGTAATTTAGGGACTCTAGAGTGTTGGGCTGCTTATATCAGGAGTCAATTTTGCTCTATTTCATATGGTTGGTGATTTAGTGTGCACTGATATAATAAAGGGTTACTAAATTTCTATATGTTTGAAATTGGGATTGTGTGTGAATCGTCATCACTTTAATTGTCTATGCTATTATTTCTACTAGTGCCCATTTAATAGCTAGGCTTATTCATTTTAATGGGGTAGTGTAGGTATAATTTGATTCGTTCCCCCTAGAGGTGATTACTTTGGCCGAATTTGATTGCATATGGCTGATGTTCTGAATTAAATATGCTCACTGACCCCTCTAATAATCTTTTTATAGAGCTATTTCTCTAAATTAATTAAATATTTGTAATGGTTATGCTTTTGCTACATAAGTAGCTTATAAACTTAATAAGTAATTAGGGAGTAGTAATATATGGACAAGAGTTCATTGAATGTCTTCTAATTCATCATTTATATGTATGTACGACATGTTTAAGTTAGAAAATTCGACAAATATTACTCTTAGAATATGCCTTGAATTGATTCTTCATGTATGATCATTTAAGTGCAAAGTGCCCCCTGTGATTGCTCTGAAGCTAGTAATATCTATTATATTCTAACAACGGTTTTCTATTGAGCTATGCAATTTTCTAGTCTTCTTTCAAAGCTTTACAACCTGTTGAGGCAATTATTGGGCATATTTGCATGTTGGCTATTCTTTTTAGTGACCAGAAATCAATTAATTAGGTCTTTGCCTTTCTCATGTTTGTAGTTATCTTTATTTGTATGCACTTCAACGTGTAATATGTTGTACATTCATTTCCAATTGATCATATTTAATCTAGACTTCTAGCTTCTAGATGAGAATATTTAATCTAGACTTCTAGCTTCTAGCTGAGATTTTTTTCCCTATTTGTGTCGATGTTAATCGCCATAGAATAATATTCTAACTAAGAAATGTGATATGCTCTTTTAATTTATTTATGCTATTACTGTTGCATCATTAAGATAATGTTTACGAATTATTGTATTGAAATTAGAATCGTTATTTTTCTGTTACGTGTATCGTACATAGTTGAACATCAAATTTGTTAGTGGACTAGATCAAGTCCCAAATTTTCCTTCTGGTTATATGAACATAAGATAATAAATCAATTGATACGAAGCTTAAATTCCCACTCTAAGCTAATTTAATGACTTTTGTTTCCCTTTATATTTTACTTGTACAGCTGACTAATAGAAATCAAAGGCAGAGGTTCAAAGAAAGAAACTGCTTGCATTGCTACCTTTCTGTCTTTATAGATGTTTGACAATTTATATTGAGAAATGATTATTAAGAAAAGATGGGGGTGGAGTCTTTTTTGTAACAGTAAGATTTTTTAGGACAGTGCTGAAGTTGAATTTATTGGTGCTGAGAGTTTGAAAAGCCTCTATTTCTTTTTCTGTTCAGACTGCTGAAGTTATGCATCTGCTCTTTGTGCTTACTTAAACAGTCAACCTCAAATTTTTGCATTCAGTTAATCATCTGATTGGCAAGTGAAAGTTGCCTTCTCGTAGATATTAAAGGAAGGTGTTGTGAATCATATATTATGACCAAAATCTATTGTCTACTTGTTGAAACATTTTTTGATGTTTGATGTTTGCTTGTGCTTCTTATGTATGTTCTCCCCTCCCTGGTAGATAATATATTGATGTTGTTTTATTAGCCTAGAAGCTGCTCCCCTACTTCCTCCTTATTTCTTTCTGTAAAACGATGCTTGCTTTTCTCCCTCTTTTTTTAGGAACTTTTTTTGTCTGATCATCAGAAACACAATGTCCATGTTTTTCCCCTGTGATTTATGATTCAGACCTTAGATTTAGATTTTGCTTGTTTTCAATAATCTTGTTTTAACTTAATAGCAGGGTTGAAGTTGAGCAGTAATTCGTAGGTAAGAAAAACTTGTTTCCTATGTCTTTTGTGCTTTCAACAAACAAGAGTAGGCAATGCATAATAGTTTAAGCATGAAACTATTCCCATTATTGAACAATCTCTCTTAAGCTTTCTAATGGACAGCAAGAAAGCTTAAATAATTATAGGACTACTTTACAGATTTATATATGTGCATTGTACATAATTAATTGCCTAGATTAAAGTATAATGTCCGTGTTATCTTCTCAAATCGATTATGAATCTTGAGTCTATATTTTGTAATGTACTAATTATGCTTTTTTTTTTTTTTTTTTTGAATATTGGAAAAGACAATGTAGGTGCAACAAGAGAATAGGCAGGGACACTTGAGCATCAAAACAAGCGATTATATCATCTATAAGGCCATCACCTATGTATTTTATTTTTTAGTCTTATATTAGTGATGTATTTATTTAGGGACAAGCTACTATATGTCTATATATAATATGCGACATCTTTTTTTTTTTTTTTAATTTTATTAATTGTGTTGATGTTTTCTTTTTATAAATTTGGTAATTAACTAAGTACTCTTATTATTGTTGATTAATTATTGTTTTTTTATTTTTTTAAATCTAGTTATATAGAATATTTGTTTAATTTAATTTTTATGTTATTAATTTATGATAAATTAAAAATAACTATAATGTGTGATGGTAATATTTTAATAAAAGGAAAAAAAAAAGCTTAAAAAAAATAATTCTAGACGCTTTTTTGATAAGTGACTTTTAAGTCACTTTTAGGGGTGTTTATTGAATACTTTTCCGGCTTATTTCAATAATTAAGCTCATATTATCATTTATTTCTATTATTTGCTTATTCTCCTCTTTTATCATTTTATTTGAGTATTTTGTAGTTTTTAGTTTAATTTTGTAATTTATTTATGTTTCTTATTCTCTTATGTTCTTAGTCTAAATTCTTGTTAATATTTTTCTTCTCGTTTTCCTCTTATTTTTCTTTTATTTTCAAGTTTGTTTTCTTTATTTTATTTTATTTATGTTCTTTTGATTTTATTTAATTTCTTTTAGTTTTAGTATTTTATTTTACTTTACTTTATTTTTATTTTGTTCTAGATCCTACCCTCGTGTTTGTTTTTGGTTGCATGTGTTTTCGGATTCTTGGCCAAGTTTCAAAGTCATATTCGAGTTCAAGGTCCGAGGTTCGAGGCACAAAATTGAACTAAGCAACCAGCAACACCAACCTCTGCCACCATCTCATCCTCACTAAGCACGAATTTTATCCTAATGAATTGGATGAAGGTTATATTAATGAATTGAATGATTGATTACGATTATTATGAAATTGTTTCTTCATTATTGTGTATGGGTGATGCTTCTATGGATTAGAATCTTTCTAGCTAATCAATTATATGCTCTTAATTGTGCTTTCAATCAATTGTGCGAGAGTGAGTTGGTTGAGAGCCCTAAATTCTTCCATACCTTTGCTAGGCTAGTTGCACGAGAGTGAATTAGTTTAGTAGGATAATTAACATGTTTAATTGTGCGAGAGTGAGTTAAATGTGTTGTTGTTCCTAATCAAGGTCATTTTCATCTATTTGTATGATGTTGTTTAACACATTGATGTGATTGGATTCCACTTTCCCTAGTTTTAGTTGTTTGTTCTTAGTCGTGTTTAGTTTAGACTCTCTCTATCTCACGACCTTTCCTAGTAGTCTAGTTGGCACAAATTAATACACTTAGTCCTTTTGGGTTCGACCCTTTACTTGCCACTAGTTTAGTGTAAGTTTAGGTATTATAAATTTCTAATTTGGTTAGGGTTAGTTGTCCCAACGACTACTTTTACCTTCGATCAAATTTTGGCGCCGGTGCCGGGGAATAAGGCGTTCATTAGTTTGTGTTGATTAGATTAGATAGGTTCTTGTATATTATTTGATTTTTGTTTGCTTTTCTTTGTTCTTTGTATAAAAATGGCATGCTTATCTTTTCCTCAATTTGATGGTGAACCCTTCTATGCTTACTTTGAAAGACTAGATGCTTTTCTTAGTTACCATGGGTGTTCTCTTAGTGATGCTTGTAGTATAGCTTATTGGGGCATGAATGAGTATACTAGGGGAATGGTTGAGGACATGAATAATGGTAGATTTTGTCATTTGTCTATGCATGATGCTTGGGATTTCTTCACATGACTTGCTAAGGATTCTTTTGATAGAGAATCTCACGTTTCTTGTTTTGATTCTCAATGCCAAGATTCTTTTAATTTTTGCATGAATTCTCTCGATACTTCTTATGTGCCTTGTGATGATCCAAGTATGCAAACTGACACCTTTCCCCCTTATGCTCATTTTGATGAGGTTTGTGCTAATTTTGATGATGTGCAATTTGACTTTGATCATGAACCTCAACCCAATAACATTGATGCCCAAATTCTCTCTCAAATGCAATATCTCACCCAACAACTCCAAGAGCTTCAAGAGGAACAAAAATTGAGAGAAGTGAGGCTTGCCCAAGTGATGAGTGCTATGATTGATTTAGATGGACGTGAGGCACCTCACTTGGAGTGTGAGAGTGTTGTTGAGGATGATGTGGGGAAAGGGTGTGAAAGTGAGGGGAGATTTTCTTGTGATGAGAGGATTTTTGAGGATTTTGATCCTTTTCATTCCCCATTTGATCTTGATTGCCATCATTCCCCTTATTCACCCCCTTTGAGAGCTTCCCTTGGTGAGGATGTGAGTGAGCCATCTTCATGTTTGAATGAGGGAGTTCATGAGGATGATAATGGTGAGTTTGAGAAATCAAGAGAGATTGAGAGTTCCTTGAGTGATGATGGAAGAATTGTAAATGAAGAAAATATCGATTTTAAGGATTCCAACCCCCTTCCCCATCTTGATGAGTCTACCTTGCATGTTTGTGACCCTTCTATCCATGAGTCTTTGGACTCATTTGAGGTTATGGCTAGTATGATCATTGAAGGTGTAACAAAACATTATAGCCTTTTGAGAGAGTTCATTGGCAATGCTTAATGGGAAAGGGATGAGTTTGAGAGAAACCATTATCCTTTCATGCATGGTTTAGAGACTCTAGGCTTTGAGGATCTTGAGGGAACTGTTGTTCATCGTTGTGATAGAGTGGAGGATGAGGTTGTTTCTATTGAGGAGTTTTTGTTTGAGGGAGATGTGAGTCATGAGTGTTCTTTTGAGGATTCTATGATTGATTTTCATGCCCTCATTGGTGATGTGAGGCTTTGTGAGACCATTGTTTCTCCTCCTCTTCCTCATGTCCCTTTCTCAAGGAAATTTGACCACATCTCCTACTATCCCATGTTCCTCCCTTCTTTTGTCAAAGAGCCTATTGAGGACCTTCTCTTGTTTGATGAGACATTTCCTTTTCATCCTCCTATTATTGAGGAAATGGGTGATTGTGCCACCCAAAATTTTTTTGAGGAGAGTTTGCCTTATTTTTCTTCTTCTTTCTCTTCTTATTTTCTTGATTTTTATTTTGATTTTTCTTCTTTCTTTTGGCATCTTCCTCCTCACTTACGTGCAATAATCTTGTTGCACGTCCTCCTTCCTTCATTTGCCTACTTGTCATCCTATGAAATGTGTAGTAGTGCATTTGATAAGCTCTTGCGTTCGTTGCAATATTATTTACTAGAGCGGTCTCGCTTGGATGTTAAACAAGCCTTTCTCGGGAAGTCACCCGAGGTTTTTTTTTTTGCTTTCATTTTCTTTACTTTTTAGATTAGATTTTCTCTCATGGAAATGTTTGTGTGCCCCTTGCTAGGTACATAACTTGATATACACTTATGCATTGGTTTGGATTAAGAATCAAGGAAGTTTAACACCTATTTTTGCTAGCATATGGAAATCGAGATTCAATTCAAGAGGAAATCGGCTTTGAAAGGTTAAATTGATTCATTTGCGGGTGTTTACACCCACCAATATCCGGTAATATCTTTCCTAGCTCTTTCTCTAATGGTTAGTGACTCGTTGGACTTGTGTTGGTTTGTTGGATTGATTTCTTTCTTTTCCCCTTCCATGGATTATTTGGTTTATATCTGAGTATATTGTCTCATTCAAGCTTGGGGGGGGGGGGGGAGGGTATTCTATCATGTTTGGTGGGATGTTGATTCATTTATGCCATGCACTTAAGTATATGCATTTCCATATCTTTTCTTTTATTTTGAAAAATCTAAAAAGATTTGTGTTTACTTTCAAGGTAATTTTGGCAAAATGTGTTTTGTTTGTACTTATTTTGGAAATTTTGTTTTGGGACTTGAATCCTTGAATGTTTTTCTTCCTAAGTGGTAAATGTATGCACGGTTTGAGAGTGTCATTGGTTGACTCTAGAATACTATATGCTATGGTAGTCGGGTTAAGAACTTTTAGGGGTCCATGAAGCCTTAGTTCACGGGAATGTGGTAAGATGGAGTTGCTCTCTATAGTGGATTTGAAACCCTTGGTTGGTATTTGTTTGGTTATAATCCCTTGTGAGCTTCATTTGTTCTAGTTCATCACCTTGTTGAGCGGCTATTTAGGATCCTTGACTATGCATGTCTTAATCCTTGTTTTGAACTCTAGCTCCCAAGATCGTGACCGAGCCACTCTAGGGGAGGAAAAGGGCACCTTTTCTGATTTTTCTTTATCTTCTTTTTATTTTGTTACAAATTTGGTTTTCTATTTTGCATCGACCTACTTATTAACCAATTTGAGCCTAAGGTTTCCCGCTCTTGTTTAAACTGCATTACAAACCCAATTGCCTATGTTTACCAACCCTTTTAGTTAGTGAAGCATTGGCATGTGAGGGTATGAGTTTTGAGAGTGTTTAAATTGAACAAGACATTTTGTGAATTGGTTTAAGTACGGTATTGAAAGTTGAGCTTGAAAAGAAAATGCAAAAAAGTTTGAGAAGAAAGATGCAATTCAAGAAAATCAAATGAAGTTTCAAGAAAAACCCGTCCATAGTTAAAAAAAAGGCAAGGACATCAAATAAGAGCTGAAAAAAAAAATTGAAAAAGAAACAAAAAACACAAAAATATTTTAGTTTGGTTTCGTTTTCTTCCCTAGTTTAAGCATTGAGGACAATGCTTCGTTGAAGCTTTGGGGGGGGGGGGAGCGTTACTTCGGTTTTGGTATATATTGTGTTAGTGTTGAATAAGCTTGGGGGAGATGGCATTATTGGTATTTTTGTTTGATATTTTATGGCATTATTGGTATTTTTGTTTGATATTTTGTGACTTCTTGTGTTTGTTTTTGAGAGTAGGCCACTCTTTTGCTTCACTTAGGAAATATCACCAAAATTTTCAAATTTTTACCCCGCCTTAACCCTTAGCCTTACGTTATAACCCAATAAAAGACCCTTAGACTTTAGTGGGGTTAGATCAAAGAACGGTGGAGGGAGATAGACTTCAAACCTATGGAAAGAGTATGCATAGTTGAGATGTCGGGATTACCTTCTCAAAGTTTTTCATTTCTTTATCTTTTTCCGGTTCCTTCGTGAAATCATGAGAAACTAG